GTGTACCTCATTATACTTTGATTTCTGTGTAGACTACATCTATTCACCACCCAAAGTATAATTACCACCTGTCATGGTACATGTGCCCTTTTACCCCTTTCACCCTCCCCTCACCCTCCTTCCCCTCTGGTAACCACCAATCTGATATATTTTTAAGGGAAAGAAACTAATCGGCTATAATTTGTGTAAAACATACAAGCCCATACTAACACATATGTGTGTATATGTACATATAATATTTCTGGAAGGATACCTGAAACTGATTTTTCTGGGAGGAGAACTATGTGGCTGGGGTACAAGTGGTGGGAGGGACACATAAAAGAAGTGGAAGGCACACACTATGACCTGCCTACACTACTAGTCCCGCAGGGATGGCCCTACAGAAAAACTTGTAAAAGTTCATGTAAGAAATATTTACTGAGCACTTACTGTATACTAGGCACTGACCCGGGCACTTGGGATATATCAGTGAATGAACCAAAGAGCCACGACCCAGCTTCTAGTGGAGCTGTAAATGCTCATCACTGATGACTAGTAAGGGGGCATTTTAAATTCCATTAGACTTTAATCCACTAGACTCTGGTCTTCAGGGGCAGGGTCCATTCTTCTGTTCCGCCCACATTTAGAGCCCTAGTAACTGGCACACAGAGACATTCAATGAACACTTATACTAAGCTGCTTGCTTAAAAACAAAACGTTCTCTCAGTTCACACCACTCACAGTCCCTACTGTGCTAGATGGCAGGAAAAGAAAAGGTTAATTCATGAAGAAACAATGCAAATTAAATCAAATAACATAAAGCAGGACACTGCTAAATTAGCCCAGTTCTCAGTACTAGAGAAGTTCAGAGAAGAGACAGGTTCAGGGAGGGTTAGAATGGGTGGAGCAGAATTCTTGGAGAAGATCAAACTGGAAAGACAAGTAGGGTTTAGACTTGCAGAGGGTAGAGTAAGAAGTGACAAGGGAAGCGAAAAAGATGCCAAGTTTTATGCGATCGAACGGACAATAAAGCATGTTGTACTTAGGCTGCACCGTGTACATGTCACATACACAGTCCAAGAGTACATGCACCCCAGATAGCACATACACGTATGCAGATCCCTATGTTCTGAACATCTTACCCTACAGAAACTGCACAAGAGCCAAAGGCAGTAAAAGAAAGGAAAAAATGAACTCCCCTTTATAACCATTCATTCACATTACTTTGCACAGGTACGGTGGAAAAACCAGACCAGAAATCCAAGTTCATGGTCTCTTCAAGGAAGGAACGCTACTAAATGACCTTTAAGGGCACACCCAACTTTGGGTATACTTCAATTCCCTAAGTTTTAATCTAAAATCTGATACTGCTATGTGAACAGAATCTTCCCTTTTTTCATATTTGTTATTTCTGATACATGTTTTCTCAAGTACTTTCAGTTAAGGGGAAATTTTGCTAGGTTTCTTTGAGAATAAAGTCATATAATAAAAAGTTCAAAGCCATTTTCTAGGTTAATCTCAAAAACATTTTAAAGAGAATCCTCTGGAACAGGGATGACAAATACCTTACATATAAGGGGACACTACTAATTCATTGGATGTGGCTTTTTTGAGCCTCGGTGGAGAATTCTGCAATTTTCTCCAGGCTCTGCAGGAAAGAGAGGTATGATCAATTACTGATGTCGGTCATAGGCACCAGAAGGGTTAGTTAGCAGCATTGGAACCAGACATTTGCTATCCACGTCTGATGACACTCTCCAGGCAGCTCTTATTTGTACATAATACATAGTTACACCTGAAAACAGCAGAATTTGCAAAACTAGATCCCACGAATCAGAAAAGAGCTCACAAAGGTATACAGCTAGACCTGCACTGCATTTCCTTAACAAATCTAAATTAGTTGCCAGCTGATAAAAGTATTTTGCATAAAAATACAAACTTGTAGCTACTCTTGAACTACAAGATCTGGTATCACTGAGCCAGTCACAGGTGGCTGTATGTGAGAAGCAGCTGCCCCTTTTAGACAAAGCACGTGCTCTCTGCAAGTGGCAGTCCCAGTCAGCCACTTCCCTCATCCTCGGTACCTGCCTGGCCCCTACAGGCACTGAAGCCTGTGAACCTTGCTCTAGCCCACAGGCAAATCAGGCCCATCACCTGCTTTTATCCGTGAAGTTTAACTGGAACACAGTCATGCCCATTCATTTCCATACCGGCCCTGGCTGTTTTCACATTTTACAGCACGGCTGAGCGCCTGAGACACAGATCATATGGCCCACAAAGCCAAAAATATCTCTTATCTGGCCCTTTCAGAAAATGTCTGCCAACTCCTGCTCTTGAGTCTTGATATTTATGATCTGACAGAGATGTCTACTACACATATAGTGAGAAGCCAAGGGAATAAAATAATAATGACATAACATGACTAATACCTAATCATGTAATGCGATGAACAAGAGCATACAACATAAT